TTTATATATATATATATATATATATATATATATATATATATATATATATATATATATATAGATATATATGTATGTACATATATATATAGATATATATGTATGTACATATAGATATGTATGTATATGTATGTACATATATATATGTATGTATATGTATGTACATATATATATGTATGTATATGTATGTACATATATATATGTATGTATATGTATGTACATATATATATGTATGTATATGTATGTACATATATATATGTATGTATATGTATGTACATATATATATGTATGTATATGTATGTACATAGATATATGTATGTATATGTATGTACATATATATATGTATGTATATGTATGTACATATATATATGTATGTATATGTATGTACATATATATATGTATGTATATGTATGTACATATATATATGTATGTATATGTATGTACATATATATATGTATGTATATGTATGTACATATATATATGTATGTATATGTATGTACATATATATATGTATGTATATGTATGTACATATATATATGTATGTATATGTATGTACATATATATATGTATGTATATGTATGTACATATATATATGTATGTATATGTATGTACATATATATATGTATGTATATGTATGTACATATATATATGTATGTATATGTATGTACATATATATATGTATGTATATGTATGTACATATATATATGTATGTATATGTATGTACATATATATATGTATGTATATGTATGTACATATATATATGTATGTATATGTATGTACATATATATATGTATGTATATGTATGTACATATATATATGTATGTATATGTATGTACATATATATATGTATGTATATGTATGTACATATATATATGTATGTATATGTATGTACATATATATATGTATGTATATGTATGTACATATATATATGTATGTATATGTATGTACATATATATATGTATGTATATGTATGTACATATATATATGTATGTATATGTATGTACATATATATATGTATGTATATGTATGTACATATATATATGTATGTATATGTATGTACATATATATATGTATGTATATGTATGTACATATATATATGTATGTATATGTATGTACATATATATATGTATGTATATGTATGTACATATATATATGTATGTATATGTATGTACATATATATATGTATGTATATGTATGTACATATATATATGTATGTATATGTATGTACATATATATATGTATGTATATGTATGTACATATATATATGTATGTATATGTATGTACATATATATATGTATGTATATGTATGTACATATATATATGTATGTATATGTATGTACATATATATATGTATGTATATGTATGTACATATATATATGTATGTATATGTATGTACATATATATATGTATGTATATGTATGTACATATATATATGTATGTATATGTATGTACATATATATATGTATGTATATGTATGTACATATATATATGTATGTATATGTATGTACATATATATATGTATGTATATGTATGTACATATATATATGTATGTATATGTATGTACATATATATATGTATGTATATGTATGTACATATATATATGTATGTATATGTATGTACATATATATATGTATGTATATGTATGTACATATATATATGTATGTATATGTATGTACATATATATATGTATGTATATGTATGTACATATATATATGTATGTATATGTATGTACATATATATATGTATGTATATGTATGTACATATATATATGTATGTATATGTATGTACATATATATATGTATGTATATGTATGTACATATATATATGTATGTATATGTATGTACATATATATATGTATGTATATGTATGTACATATATATATGTATGTATATGTATGTACATATATATATGTATGTATATGTATGTACATATATATATGTATGTATATGTATGTACATATATATATGTATGTATATGTATGTACATATATATATGTATGTATATGTATGTACATATATATATGTATGTATATGTATGTACATATATATATGTATGTATATGTATGTACATATATATATGTATGTATATGTATGTACATATATATATGTATGTATATGTATGTACATATATATATGTATGTATATGTATGTACATATATATATGTATGTATATGTATGTACATATATATATGTATGTATATGTATGTACATATATATATGTATGTATATGTATGTACATATATATATGTATGTATATGTATGTACATATATATATGTATGTATATGTATGTACATATATATATGTATGTATATGTATGTACATATATATATGTATGTATATGTATGTACATATATATATGTATGTATATGTATGTACATATATATATGTATGTATATGTATGTACATATATATATGTATGTATATGTATGTACATATATATATGTATGTATATGTATGTACATATATATATGTATGTATATGTATGTACATATATATATGTATGTATATGTATGTACATATATATATGTATGTATATGTATGTACATATATATATGTATGTATATGTATGTACATATATATATGTATGTATATGTATGTACATATATATATGTATGTATATGTATGTACATATATATATGTATGTATATGTATGTACATATATATATGTATGTATATGTATGTACATATATATATGTATGTATATGTATGTACATATATATATGTATGTATATGTATGTACATATATATATGTATGTATATGTATGTACATATATATATGTATGTATATGTATGTACATATATATATGTATGTATATGTATGTACATATATATATGTATGTATATGTATGTACATATATATATGTATGTATATGTATGTACATATATATATGTATGTATATGTATGTACATATATATATGTATGTATATGTATGTACATATATATATGTATGTATATGTATGTACATATATATATGTATGTATATGTATGTACATATATATATGTATGTATATGTATGTACATATATATATGTATGTATATGTATGTACATATATATATGTATGTATATGTATGTACATATATATATGTATGTATATGTATGTACATATATATATGTATGTATATGTATGTACATATATATATGTATGTATATGTATGTACATATATATATGTATGTATATGTATGTACATATATATATGTATGTATATGTATGTACATATATATATGTATGTATATGTATGTACATATATATATGTATGTATATGTATGTACATATATATATGTATGTATATGTATGTACATATATATATGTATGTATATGTATGTACATATATATATGTATGTATATGTATGTACATATATATATGTATGTATATGTATGTACATATATATATGTATGTATATGTATGTACATATATATATGTATGTATATGTATGTACATATATATATGTATGTATATGTATGTACATATATATATGTATGTATATGTATGTACATATATATATGTATGTATATGTATGTACATATATATATGTATGTATATGTATGTACATATATATATGTATGTATATGTATGTACATATATATATGTATGTATATGTATGTACATATATATATGTATGTATATGTATGTACATATATATATGTATGTATATGTATGTACATATATATATGTATGTATATGTATGTACATATATATATGTATGTATATGTATGTACATATATATATGTATGTATATGTATGTACATATATATATGTATGTATATGTATGTACATATATATATGTATGTATATGTATGTACATATATATATGTATGTATATGTATGTACATATATATATATATATATATATATCTGTATATATATATCTTTATATATACATCTATATATA